ATCCAGCCCTCCCGCGCTCCCGACTATCACGTACGGTCCCCTAAAAGTTTCGGCTAGGAAAATTATTATATCGGGGACCGTTAAAGATGGGAACCTGAAATATTAGGGTGATGTCCCCTCCTACGTAGGACCCCGCAAATTTAGATTCAGCCTTCACGCATCCCTGGGTATCACATATAGCTCAAGTACAATCCCTTAAGTTTAAATTCAGCCTTCCGCTACGCCTAAGTATCATGTATGACCCCTTGAAATTTTTGGCGAGGAAAATTATTATCTCAGGAGCCGCAGAAGCTAGAAAGCTAAGATTTTAGAATAACATCCCCTACCCATTTACGACCTCACAAATTTAAATTCTACTTTCAACGTCCCCGTGAAAGATTTAGCGAGAAAAACAATTATCTCGGAAGTCGGAAGAACTAAGGAGCCAAAAATTTTAGGAGGATATTTTCTAGTTAAGCAGGGGCTTCACAAACTCAAATTCAGTTCTTCAGCATGCCGAAGTCTCGTGTACGATTATGTAAATATTTTATCGCAAAAATCACTCGAAAGCTAGGAAATTAGGAGGTTGAAATTTTGGGAGGATATTCATCCTTCAAGGTTTCAAATTTAGCTTTCACGCATCGATGCGTGAAATCTGTAGCGGGAAATTCCGCAGCTGCGGAAACAGACAACATTTCAGCTACTTTTGCACAGATCAAAGTACAAAGCAGTGAAAATCCTTAGCAGGCAAACGTTCGTTAAACGGAATTATGCATAACACATGGTCACGCCAGCTGCCCTGGTGCGCGTCGCTATTTATTTATAACAACTGGCGGTATGTGGGAGAGGCCCCACGTGTACGCTTTTCCATTACTCACTAGTCTCTCAAAATTATTCACTGCATCAGAGGAAATTACTCTATCGTCATCCTGGCCAGTCTTATTCCTGAAATTCATTTATGCTTTCCATTACCTGACGAAAATACAAGCTCAGTTGATCTGAAATTGTTTTGAATTAGTAGTGCACTGACAGGAGCCTGTGCAGCTTAAATTCTTATTTTGAGATCTGTGTTTTGGCTGAATAGCATTAAATTGAATGACAAACAAATGAGTATTTTTATCAAAACGAATCAAACGGAAACGACGGCTCGCTGCTTCCACTACTCGGATTCCAGAAAATTTTTCAGAAGCAGTCCACAAGTTTTTCCAACTTCACTAAAACATTTTTGTCGTTTTTTATTGCTCGACATGTAGGATATTGAACAGTATCGCACGTGTACCAAGCCTGTTTCTCAACTCACTAAATAAGAAGGAAAAGGAATCTATGTAGATCCCACGTGTACCCATATTTTGCACACCGCAATGTGAAAATTCGAATTGAGGCACTATTAACATCCTTTTAACTTGGGAAGGGGACAAGACAAAAAGCTAACATTTTGTAGCGAATTTTCGTCATTTTTTTAGAAAAAAGTTTTTTAGGGAAAACATCTTGAGGCAATTCGTCAGTGAAAGTAACAAGGTATTTAAAAGCTAAATTTTGAGAAAGTGATAGTGTGTAAATAATATCCTGACTCTTTCGCTCTATAATACAAATTTTTCGCATCGTTAATAATTTTTTCGAGATTTGCCAATAAAATTTCCGAAAAATTTACAAAAGAAATTACCTGAAAAATTCCCTGAAAAAGATCAGTGCTTGTAGACCGAAAGTGCAAGTGCTTAAGCTGTGCTACACCAGCGACTACGTCGTTCCACTGAAACTGAGAAACATGACGGAGTTTCAAGAATGCATGGAATAGTAAATGATTACAGAAGAAAAGTGCTTCCTCTACGGTTAAGCTGAAAACAATAGCAACATGACGAAGGAAGGAAGGTTCAAACTCATCACCGATGCATGCTCTTTCACGACAACACGCGATACCGATGCCATCGTTCGACTGCTTAAAGATACCAAAACATCCTCGATCGGTGCACGAGCAGAATAATCTTATCTATCTCTGGATAATGGTATTGGCTATCCTTATCCATTTAATCGCTCAGTTACCTGCAACCTGCCACGCAGATCAGTGTGAGTTTTACCCATTCTCCTCCATTTTGCGAATTACGGATCCTTGTTCCCATGCACTTTCACTAACTGCGATTAATGATCACGCGTTTTTGCAGTTTTTCATACTGTAATAAGATCACTCGAAATTCCGCTTGCTAGAAACCTCTGACATACCGATCCTCGAATTTCGGGAAGTTAATTGCCCACACTATACTTGAACAGGGAACATACCCTTGACATCCCAGGTTCCCAGCTTTCTCAGTTCCCGAGTTACGAAAATTTCACGGGTCGTACATGGCAACCATGCATAATGGGGGGCTAAATTTGATAAATTTAGGTTGTAGATGAGTTGGGAACATTTCCTGAAAGTTTCAGCCTCCCAGGTTTCCTGGTTCCGGTGCTAGCAATTTTCGCGCCAGGAACCCTCACGGGGCGGTACACAAGAAACGCGTACACTGGGGACTGAATTTTAGATTTTTGAGTTCTATATGGACCGGAAACATAATCCCAAAATTTCAGCTTTCTAGCTTTTCTGGGTCCCGAGTTGACGATTTTTCCGCCAAAACTTTGAGGCACTCGTACGTGGGGCCTAAACGTGCGTGAGGATTGGTACCGCGCTCCTGGGTTGGCACTTGACCGGGGAACCCACTCGCAAAATTTTGGCGCCGGAGCTTGCTTGGGTGTCGAGTTGAAACACCCGAACAGACGTGCGTACACACACACACAAACACACACATACACACACATACACACGCATACACACACACCGGGGTCGTCGCAATATGCGTTTTCGCATTTGCATATGTACAAAAACGCATAAAAAACTTCTTGTGGGATAAAGTAGCATTTGCGCCAGTCTCTCGTTACTGATCTAGCCAAAGAATTGATCTATCAAGTGTTCGCCCATGCGCGAGTTAAATTTCCAGCTTGCATTAAAGGAGTAGCGTTTCAAACGCATAACTTGCTTAATTATGCATTTTATGCGTTGTTTGCACAGATAATTTCAGCTGAAAGATATTAATGCGAAATTATGCACTTATGTAAGCTATACGTATAATTCAAGAACTTTATTAGTGGGAAACTGAATCTGGGTGGGCACAATATATAAACCAACAGAAAATGAGGAACTGAAATCCACTCACAAGCCTATATGTGCGCTGACCACCGAGCGCAGGTCTAATATCAAGCTGATATTCAGCTCAGAAAGGAGTACCAAAACGCGACCACATGAAAAAATTCCAGAACTAGCTTTAAAGATACACTATATCCTAATTACGACCTACGGCTTAAATAAGGACAAGTCTTCCAATTCCAAAAAGAAGCAAGCTAAAGGATTACTACTCCTGGATATCAAACCTACTGGATACGATCTGTCTCAAAACAACTTAGCTTACATTTTCGGATTCCCACACAAGTTTGTAATGGGTTAAGAACATGAAATTTTTGCACTTGTGACCAAAAGCGAAGCTTATGTTGACGCGATACCACTACTTTTCATACGCACTGACGCATTCATACACAGTATTTCAACTGTAAATAACAATGTTTGACTCCACTGGCCAATTGCTTAATGTTTCTGTTCAATTCTGTCACCTTGATCGACTGCCTTCATCATTTACTTTCTTCTAAGCATCAAAGCAGCTCCTAACTTTTCCATACCTCTCTGTTTTGATCGTATGACATCATGTAGCTGTTCAAACTGATCTTTCCACCATTTTTCCTACATCCTTTCAACACTGCACAGGTACCATTAAATAATCTGCTTTGTCCACCTAGGATCACTCATCTGTGCCACATGACCAATCCAACTCCTCTTCCCGGCATATATTGTTTTGATAAGTCACATATATGTTTCAACTTGCTAACACCTATCATGTGCCTGTCGATGACCCGTCAAATCACTGCTGAGCTTAACTCCAGCAAGAGAGGTATTCTGTGTTGCACTTTCACACAGCAAAACCAGCAACACAGTAACTGAAGAGTGCCGCTTCCGCAGTGCTATGCTACATTAACGCTGGAAAAGACACCTCGCAACTTGACGAAATCTGTAACCTGCTCTTTTTTTTCTGCTCTGCTCCAAAACCAGCTTGTTATTCATCTGTATTGTTTGCTCCAAGCTACAATTAGCTGTCTACAAGTACAGCAAGGTGATTCTCGACTCTCAAGCCAAATAGGGAAAAGTACGCTTCCTTCATCTATTTCATTAATGTTTCTTCGTAAGTTTGAAATCCACTTTCCTTCGCACTGGCTACAAGTTTATTTGACAGATCCCGCAAAACATGCGGATTCGCAATGAACACAATGCCTTCTGCGAAAATTCACGCAATCAATACAGTATCTTCCAGTAGTTTCAGTTTTTGCTCTGATCTTCAATTTCGACACCGAAGACCACAAGCACTATCGCATAAATTATCTTCTCTTGTAAGACCGCACCGATTTCCTTCTAGAAGTGCTCAGTGCCTTCATATTTGATCAGAGACATAGCCGTATTTCAGTGTGAGTTTTCTACTTATTCGAATAAAGATGAGTTGAATTTATAAAAAAAAAAAAATTGATCCAGTTCCATTCCTGCAGTCTCACAACGATTCCACTGATTCTAATACAGTCGCTGTGCCATCACTTAATTTTTCAGCAAACTTCACTTTGCATCTGGCATCGCTGATTCACTAAATATTAAAGCTAAAGTTCTGGAGTTTTTGTAGAAAAAGACCCACTGCTGATCTGATATTGTTGAGAGTTCTCATGCTAAACATGCCTGCGTTTACATATATCTAGGACTGACGGCTAAATGGAGTTCGAAAAGTTGCTGTGCCTGTTGCTACATGACCTGTTAGTCGGCCTCCTGGTGATTTGGCACTCACTGAAACCTCCCGTTCTTTTCCTGTTTCTTCTTTTTTAGGAAGAAAAAGAGGTGTAAAAACACTATTTCTTTCGAAGAGTTCCGCTTTTGATTATTTCAAAATGTGTATAATTATTAGAAAAACACTAGTGCTGAAGACGGTGTTGCAGATGAGGATAGATGTATGGAACCACTCGATCCAGGGCCTTGCCATTATTTTCAGGTAAACTTCTTGAAGGACTGTTGAAACTTGTTTAAAATTAGTTACAAATAAAGTTGACATATTTTTTTGGTAATAGTCAGTAGGATGCATAGGTTCGGTATCATGTACTTTTTTTGTAAAATACAATACTCTTGTTGCGAACCCTGAAAGAAACCAGAATTCGATGGGTGAAGTATTAAGCTATATGCTGACAGTCGGTGGGCGATGTGCATCAGTGAGTGACAGTCATGAAGAAGGAAAAATGGGTCTTCAAAGAGGTGCCTGTTTATATAAATATGAACGAACGATACTGGCAGCGCTTAGCCCAGAACAGAAAGGCCTAAGACAAAGCTGTTATGATTAAAACAACGTTCGCCAATGGCAGCCTGACGTGCAGCGCACAAAAATCAAACGCATTTAGTGTGAAACGAAAATGCATTTCAAAAATCTTATTTGTTACATGGAGAGTGCTCTTACTGTAGTTAAAGTGGTACTGGGATGAGACCGACCAACAGTGCAAGCAGTTTCACTATGGTGGGTGTTTGGGCAGTCGAAATCGCTTCAACAGCAAGATGCAGTGTATGAAACAGTGCGTATATAAGATGCATAACCCTGTTGCTATACCTGGTAAGTGAATTTACCAACTTCGTTCACGTAGAACATCTCTCTAAATGCTTTTTGAGATTTCTACTAATGACAGAAATAATCAAAGAAGGGGTCGGAAGCAAAGTGATAACGGCACTAAAAAAAGAGCCTGGAAAAAATATTAAGCGTGTGTTTGTTATTCCAGAATTGCACTTTTAAGTGCGGCCAACCTTCGCTGGAGATTGAGTTCACAACAGCAGAGGATTTTTCAGGGTCACTTAACTGCGAAATTTTTTCGGAGAACAGGCGTTTTTATATTGGACTTTTCATGGTTTCGGTATTTCCATAGATATTTGAGTGTTACACTCCATACAGCTGGCAACTTTTACACTTGTTCTAGTTAATAATGCATCGTCTGGTAGCCAGTCTGCCGACGATTTTGTTGCTCCTTTTATTTCCGAGTGCAAGCACCCGGCTAGTTTAGGTGAAAAAGCGCCATTGGTCACCCTTGTGAAGGAAGAAATTTATAGAGCTATGCTTGTTGGATCTAGACCCAGGACACTGCAACGATGATCGGAAAGGTCAGTGGTGGTATTATTTTAATGCAGCAGAGGGCGAGTGCCAAAAATTTTTTTATTATGGATGCGGCGGCAATGACAACCGCTTCTATAGTGTTTACCAGTGTCGGAAGGTGTGTGGCGAACGCCTGGCGCCCAATATTGGTAAGTTATTGTCTTAAAATACTAGGAGAATGAGTATAGCTAATTGATATCCACTGCAGTTATGCTCTTTTTCTCCGAAATATAGTCAAGCACAGAAAAAGGGCACGATGCCCTTTCGCCAAGTTATGATCTAGAAATTAATAATTTGACGGCCATAAAAGAATCGCTGTATTGTAACCTGCAGTATAAGGGTAAACTGAGAGCACTCTAATGACTTTAGATCAAAACAAGCTAAACACATAAAAATTTACAGTTTTAATGCTCTGTGTCAAACCTAAAATCAACTTTTAAACCTCAGTGCATCCAGGCTCACCACCTGAGATCTTAGTAAACGATATTGCTACAACATAGAAAACAACCGATCATAGATTCAAAATTTCGTGTGCCGATAATCATCAGATAAACAGAAATGTCGCTATTTGGCAGAAGAACCGCTTTTTATTGTACTTAACTGTAAATTTAATGACTTACATGCCGATAGTCAGTTACAGATGCACAGTTCCATACTGAACATGTGACGCTTTTGCGTGTGCGTGTGTTTTTGGTGTTTCTGCTAAATATAGTGGTTATTTCAACCATATTATTTGCGGTTTCGCTGATGAAACTTCGCTAAACAAAAATGCGGAAATGACAGTTAATTTAGTATGTGATCGCTGCGATATCCGTACATCAACGTGCAGGGCCCACTCGAAGTACAATTATACATGTGAATGCAGGGATGGCTATGCTAAAAATGCGCATGGCGAATGCGTCGGTGAGCAACAAGCTTATGAATGCTCTAGTAAAAAAAAAGAAACTGAGGAATCCTAAAAGGAGAAGTAAGAAGAAGCTTGCTTTCAATTCGTGAATCTGCTCTAATCATTCACCCAGCAATTCTCACTTTTTATCGCAACAGAACTATTTTGCAGATGTGGACGAATGCCGCAGCGGAAGTGCTTTGTGTGATCGAAATGCGTGGTGTGTAAATACAATTGGTTCATATGCTTGCAAATGTATGGTTGGTTATAGCGGCGATGGACAAAAGTGCACTTACGTGGGAATTGGTTAGTGAATTAATAAGATTGTAAAAAAAGACTTTACGCGACTTATTACCATCTGCGTGCATTGCTGAATCTACTCACAGGGTGCCCACAACATCCGGGCGCAAAAGCTCATGATCACGTCAGCCCTCTGATGTGCGTCACCATTTAATGTTTTCGTCATTTTTTGATTCGCTCATGCATGAATGAAAAACGTCTGAGCGACGAAAAAAAAAGTGCGAAGTGACACTAAAGCTGTCAGATTTGGAGCGGTCACTGCCATCATGTTCATCGTAAATGGAGCCATCGATTTGCAAAATTTCTAGGAATCACTTTTCAACTTTTTGCAGAAAGTGAAGTTAAAATTGAATTTGCGAGTTTTAACGTGCTCACAATTATGATGATTTTGATATCAAAATTCCTGGTAGAGGCTCTTTTATGATTTAATCTGACTGCTTTTTTGGCAGAAATGAATGATATATATTAACAGTGGAAATCCTGGGCAGAGATAACTGGCATGCGGTTTCAACTGTAGAAATAAATGAAACCCAGGCTGGAACGCACCAGGCGAGCCGGTGCGATTATGCGTTTTTATACTTTTCGAGCCGTAGCAAGATCGCAAGGGATCACAGTAGCTAACCCTGTGACATACTGGCCCTCGAAGTTCGGAAAGTTAATTGTGCAACTATGT